TCCCAAGATCTGCCCACTCCCAATTCTCTCCTCTGACTCCGGGATCTGCTCAGTCCCAATTCTGCTCTCCTGTAATCCCAGTATCTGCCCACTCCCAATTTTTCTTCCCTCTGATCCCAGTATCTACCCAGTCCCAGTTTTTCTCCCCTCTGATCCTGGTATCTGCTGAGCTCTCAGGAAAGATGAAATATTCAGAGATTACAGTTAGTAAGCCCTAAGCATATGCAAATGCATCTTTTTGAAAAGGCTTGTATCCTGGCTAAATACAGATGCTTTGTCATGCAAATGGAAGAAAGACATCCCTGGAATCAAATCCCTCATTCTTTTTCAACTCCACTTCAAGGAGAGGGGCACATGGTAAAAGTTGCAAAAACTTTTAAAGCATTGGGAAACACGTTTTTTTCTCAGCCTAATTCTCAAAGCGAGCCACACTTCAACAGAACTTTTACACACAAATTAAATAAACTAGAACAAGGCTTAGGTATGCCATTATAAATTTTCCCCATAAACAGTAGAAGTTCGTCAAAGTTATGAAAATCTTTTTTTAGATACTTTAATACTTAAGCAGAATTAATAGTTTCTGTTTGATCTCCAGGGCAAAGGCCATTACTATCAGTGGTCTGAACTACAGTACATACATTATTTGAAACACCTTCACGTGCTGCCCAAGACACCTGTGCACTACTGTAAGGGAGCACCTGAAACACTATGGTCAACAATAAATACTGACAAATAGTTCTTATTTCCAGAACCTTCCCTTCTGTGCACTTCATTAAAAAGTATATTGCTCTAAAATGACAAGAAATATTCTGTTCATAGACTCCCTGATCAGTACAACTCAACTTTCACAAGTTAGACCTGATGGATGAAATCATGGTATAAAATAGGCTGGATTAAACTACCAGTTTTGTTTTCAAAGGGGGAAAAAAAAAAAAGAGATAATGTATCTTTCAGCATCTGAACCTGATGCTCACCATTTCCTAGAGAAGAGCAACAAATTTAACACTTAAGTTTTATCTGTACCTTACTTTTTTTTTTTGTAGTCTTCGAACACTAGTGGGGGAAAAGTAAGTTAACTATGTAAACTCATGCAATGCAGTCTTTCGGAATCTGAAGGGGGGGGGGGGAAACAACAACCAAAAACCATGTAACACTCCCCCTCACCCCCACAACAACAACATCACTCATATAAAGGAGCTGTACGTTCAAATAGCTAACCACTCAAAAGAGATCTAAAGAGAACCAACATTTTGATCCCATCTCCTTCTATAAGCAATTAAATCACAGTCTAGTCATCCTTTTATTTTTTTACCAAAATCTGCTGAGCCCCAATAGGGTTAAGGGCATCCTGGGAAAATAACTAGTTTAGAAGACCACTGGAAGATCAAGACAACTGAAAACACAGAATCCAGTAAGAACTTAGTTTTGCCTTATATGTTCAACTACTTATATTTTCAAATTAAAATATTTTTTTATATATAAACAGAGAGTTGCATTTGCAAATGGAACCTCCATGGTCTGGTCCTCCTTTCTCCAAGATTAGAAGTTTACAGTTTCACCATTCAATGAAATGTCAATAGGTCCTAATCTGAAACAGTCTCATTTTAAGGAATAAGGACAAAAAATAAAAATAAAAAAGTATCTCCAGTTGTTGTGAAGAGATAACAAAAGATGATGCATAGAAAACTTTTAGGGCTTTTCTCCTTTGACAATGTAGATGGTCTTATATGGTGCCCTCACAGTGCGGAAGAACTACTGTTTAACACAACTATTCCATCCTTTATGTAACAGGGAGGCCTGAGCCCAAAATTAAGGCACCAAATGAGAGGAGGGGGTACAACAACTCTTGTGATTTTTGTCTCTTCATCTTTTCATGCCTCACAGGTATCGTGTAACCTTATTTCTTGTGCTCCCCAACTGTGCCTCCCTGGCAAAGAATTAGGGGTTTTTTTCCCCCTAAATTCATCTACCCACAATTCACACGGGTTTTTAAGCTACATAATACAGACAATTTGCCCCAGAGACCAAGCAGAAGGGACAAAGACCATAAAACAAATGCCATGTTGGAACTGAAAGTTTGCCAAGGGCTACTATAAATGACTGGCAAAACTTGGTTCATTTTATTGGCAATTACATAACCTCAAAGGACATAAACTAAAGGCAGAATACAGTGAGATGTACATACTACAAAACATACCTGGCACTGCACTGTTCTGTAAAATACATGACGATAAATATTGCAAACATCTGAACAACACACATCTTTTCCACACTTGATAAATACTCTTTTCACACTGTAGTCCTGTCACTGGCACACATCCTCATGGGGAATAAACATGTTCCACACAATCAGGCCATACAAAACTTGAAGTAGTGTAATATTTTTTTTAATTATTTCCTTAGTTATTGCAAGTGTATTTTGGAGACATGTTACTGGCTACACATTTTAGATACTTACAAGCTTGAGGAGACACACCAGCCTTTAGCTGCATATTCTGTTCTAAAAAACTTTGAAACTAAACATAATTATAATTCCTCTCTTGATTAAGTAAGTACTTAATGAATCAGTCAACAGACATATTTTTCTGTGTTGTTTACAAAGTAACACAATCTCACGCAGAAGTCGGCGCTATATTTTTGTAGAGATATTTAATTGGAAGGCAAACTTTTTTTTGAGCACAGCAAAAACTCACGCATTACCTTGGGACAAGCATTGCATAGCTGTAAAACAGTGTAGTTACAGGGAAAAAAAAAAGCAATCACTGCTTTTTTTATGTCAGAAAGAAAGCATAAGAAAATAGCCAGAATGTGGTATTATCTACTAAGAAGCAACTTTAATAGATGTAATACAATAAAAATCTGAAATGTTGTCTATATAATGGTATTCCACATCATAAACCAAGTCTAAACGCTTTTTTTTTTCTTTTGTTCGTTTCGGTAAAGGAAAAGGGGGGAAATAGGATGTTTCTGAATTCCCAGCTCCGTTCATTTTCAAGTAGATGCTACCGTAAAGCTTCTTATCTGTCAAGTCCATGGTGTAAAAACACACCATTTCAGTGTTTTGCATAAAATAATCTACACGTGAAGAATCCACATTTCCAGCTGTTAGTTACGAATGGGAGACAACGTGTATTTAAATCGAACAGCACCATCTAGCAGGTCCCCTACAACTTTACTTAGGAGGGCAGTTGCTACTTGGTAGTAAGTCAGTTTAGCGAGCTTGCCCTGAAAATTGTTAAGTATTTTCATACCACATTAAATATTACGTCCTCTAGGACACCAAAAACCATGAAGAAAAATCAGCTGCAGTGAAAGAATTAGACTGAAAACAGTTTGAAGTTTCAACCCCACGACCGAAGCACTTGTGTATATGGCTGGTATTAGGTAGTTTTTGCAGAGCAGAACTAAAAGGACATGATCTTCATCTGATCCAACACACAGCAGTCCTATGGATTTGTTTTTAGTCCCACTGCGAGGTCCCACTGTGCCCTTCAGTGATTTACCAAGTGTATTAACAAACACCAGCAAACACGCAGCACAAGGAAATGGTTTAATTCGCTAATTTTGTAAAAGGAAATAAACAACTCTTGCACTAGCCAGTTAAGCAATTATTTTTAAGCAATTATTTTTAAAATTATCCCTACACTGGGAGTAAGAAGTGCCACTAGTTGATCAGATTTTAATGCCCAAGTTGTGTCTCCCGCTCTATTTCAGCAATTAACGCTTCCCCAGTGCGGCCTCCGCCTATCTCCACTTTCCAATAGAAAAGTTAAGTGCGAAATTGACACTTTAAACTTCCCCCACCATCTCCCTCTCCTGCAGCAAGAGAGATGCCTGGCCTGTTCCTGTTCCAGGAAGCGTGCATGCCAGCCTCTGGAATTAGGAACTTCCTTAAAAAAAAGAAAAAAAAAAAACAACCCACCAACTAACCCAATCCAGCATTAAAAAAAAAAAGAAAATTAAAAGCAAAAAAAAAACCCCAAACCCACGAAAAACAAACAAACAAACAAACAAAATCTCAAACAACAAATACAACAAACCAACTAACAACAACAACAAAAAAACTTTTAGGTGAAGGTTCAGGGCAAACTGCCTGAAGGGAAAGTCAGCGGCCATGCCCGGAGCACAGATCCCGGTGCTGAACCACCTCCGGAGCGATGCGATTTTCGGACCAGAAAGGTGCAAACCCGGGCTCTCGACGGAGGTTTGCACGTCCGGACACCCCGCGCAGCCTGCCCCCGACCTTCTCACCTCCGACACACTTCGTCCCCCTCCTTGTCCTCCTCCTGCTCCTCGCAAGGAGCTTTTCCTCCCCCTCCACGGCGGTGACAAACCAGCCCCGGTCACGCCAAGTCGCCGACACCACAGGACAACTTGAGGAGCCGCCGTCCATTCCGAAAAACCCGGTCTTCCCCCCAATTCCCTCGCGGGGCGGGGGCATCCCCAGCGCTCCCCGTCGGGATCCCCGCGGGAAGCGGGGACGGAGCTCCCAGAGCGCGGCTCGGATGGGGGGTTTTGAGCGCGATTACAAATAAAGGATAATAATAACAATACTACTACTAACAGTAGTTTTGTTAGGCGGCGGGGCCCGGCCGGACCCAGGCCAGGGGTCGCGCCAGGCACCCCCGATGCTCGCACCCCCTTTGTGTGCGCCCGAGTCCCCCGGGTACCGACAATGCGGGGCCGGCCAAAAGTTGCGAGGCGGCGAGTTGGGACGCGGCGGGACCCGCAGCCCCCCGCGCGGGGCTCTTTGTTAGCGGGGCTGTCCCGCACCTTGACGGGCCGGCGATGGGGCGGCGGGGACCCTCGCGGGACCACCCTGGACGGGGCGCTCAGCGACCCCGCAGGGCCGGGACCCCCGAGCGCGGGCGCTACCCTCGCACTCCGCGGGGTCCGGCCCGGGGGGTTGAGGGAGGGGGCTGCGCCGCAAAGTTTAGTTGCGGGGTGCGCGGGGGTTTGCGCGGGGTTTGCGCGGGGGTTCGCGCAGGGCGCGTACTCACTTCTCCCTGGCCTGGCTGTCAGACGGGACGCTGCTGTTGCTCTTGCCTTTGCCGTACATGCCTGCGGAGAAGCTCCCGACTGTCACGCACCTGTCAACCCATCACCGCCTCCCCGGGACCGGCCCCGTCGCCACGGCGACCGCGCCACTCGCGCGCGCCATTGGCCGGGCCCGCCCCCGGCGCCGTGATGGACGGGGCGCACGGAGGGGCCGAGCAGGCCCCCGCCCCCGCCCGCCCCGCGCCCCTGCTCCGCGCCGCTCTCACCGCCTCTCCCCGGCGCAAGGGGGAATTAGAAACGGTTCTAGAAGGATTTTTAAACAACCGGCTGTTCCCGGCGCCGGCCGCCCGCCCGCCGCCGCTGCCGCCGCCGCTGCCGCCGCCGATGGGGGAGCGCCAAGGAGAGACGCAAACTGCGGACCGGATTCGATGCCAGCCCCGTGTCCACGGCCTCCCACCCGCGCACCGAGACCCCCGACCACCCTCCGCGTCCCCACCAGGGCGGGGGGCACTTCTTGCCCTCTCCTCCCTCACATCGTCCGCCCTCAGCCCTCACGGGGACCCCCCACCCCGGCCAAACACAGCCCCGAGGGTCTCCCCCGGCAGCGGGTCCCACCCCACCGAGGGTCCCCCTGTTCCCCCACGGGGGGAGGGACAGCTTCCTCCTTTGCGACGGGAGGGCGAGTGCCGGGACCGGCCTTAGGCGGCAGGAGGTGGGGAGGAAACGTTTCCTGAACCAAAGCAGCGTGACTTTTAGAGAGGCTAAAAAAAAAAAAAAGTAAAAAAACCCCAAACTGCCCCACGCTCTCTAAAGAAAATTCAAGGAAATGCTTTGGTTTTTTTCTTTAGAGTTATATCGCAATAATTGCGTGCTCACAAGAGGTGGTAGGAAGGGAGCAGCCACTGGGGCCATTTATTGCTTGAATTTTTTTTTTTTTTTGCTCTTCCTCCTAAACCACAGTCCCAATTTGAATTTGTGCAGGTTTTGATAACCTGGTTATGTTTAAAGTGCGACTAACCTTGTAAACCCACTCACGTGCGTAACTCCTGGGTAGGGGCTTTTAGTGCTTTAATGTTTTGTATTTAATGTCAAGCCCTTTCTCAGGTCGGGCCAGGTTGTAAATGTGCCAATCTCCACGTCCTGTCGGCAGGCAAAGGTCACGGGCAACCAGCGCCACAAAAAAAACCAACCAAGATTGGAGGAGGGAAGTTGTGCCAGACGTGGACCACCAGCATCTGTTTATCATTGCTGGAGCTGCAAGGGAAAAAAAAACATCCTCTGGATTTTGAGCTGCCAGAGCGAAGGGAATGGTTGGTGAGGTGAAATTGAGGGGGGGAAGGGGGATAAATAAGAGTATTGATGAGCGACTGGAACAAATTAGCGATGTCAGCAGAGACAACAGGAAGAAGCAAGGGAGGCTGGAGAATCCGAGGTGCTTGTAGCAGTTCCCTACACGGTGTGGGTTGTGTGGGATGTCTGTGCTGTTGCAACCCGCCACAGTAATTCATCAGATTAGAGCACACCACAAATCCCATCTTGTGCTAAAGTTGGTTGTTTTAAGCTTATACCTAATTTTTTTATTTATTTTTTTTTTATTAACAGTGGAGAGAGTGGTTGGAGTGAATCTAGGGAGAGAAGTAAATGAGGCTGACATCAGCCACCCTGGTGAGATCAAGGCTCCCAAATTACACCGATGAGACCAGAGGAAGAACAACGAACAAGGTGGCAACAGTGTGTTGTGGTGTGAGGAGAAAGAGGGAAAACAGAAAAAGAGGGGGGGAAGGAGAAAAGGGTAGGGAAAGCTCACATAGGAAATGAAGGAGGAGGAAATGAGGAAGCAAAGCCCAAGCACAGTGCACGAGGAATTTGGGTGATAAAAGTGGGGAAAGACAAGGAAGAGAATATGAGAAGTTAATGAAACGTGAACCGATGGGAGGAGTTTTGGCCTCATTTAGACAGAATAATGCTTACATGTGTTGTACCATGGAATTTAGGTTGGACATGAAGCTGATGGCATTCAGGGTGACCGTGGGCAGCAGAAAATGGTGTAAAGAAAGGCTGGGAAAGAATCAGGGCATAGAACAAGAAAAAGACTTGGATTGTAGGTAAGGCATAAGAAAGATTGGGTGTGGGAAGGAAAGGAGTGAGCGTGGATGCCCTTGGCCAAACTACAAAGGTAAATGACACAAGTACAGATCATCGTAATCCAGAATACAGTTCCCATCCGAATATTTGCTTGCCCTTGGGGAAGAGCCATTATCACCCCATCAGATACGATGAGTTTCTCTTGTTCAAGGCTTTATGCTGCCACCCTGACCCGTGGTTTTAGCAAGGCTTTCACACCAGACTGATAACCTTGGCGAAATCCTTCCCGGGCAGGACAATCCTCGAAATCTGTTGTTTTGTTTGCCTCAATAGCTTTGGTTGATTTATTTGTGGTTCGGTGGGGGAGGGGGCGGGGGAGTGGGATATTTTGAGAAGGTGGCTGTATCTGTGTTGTGTCAGCCCTGGAAGGGGAGTAGTTTTGTTCTTGAAAAGGACAATGTTGAGGTGTTTCCCAAAAATGTGATGGTGAGATAGCTGTTAATGTCCTTTCGATATGCGGCACAGCTAAAAATGCTTTGTTCCCGTTTTTCATGTGATTTATTTGCATTTCTGTGATTTATTTTGGTCTCAAGGACCCCAAATGACTCGCAGATTAAGATGTGATCTGGGGCAGAGCAGAAGGAACTTCAGGAGGGCAGGGCTGGACGCTGAGACAGGATCAGAATGGCCCCTTTCCCAGTGAGGCTGGTAAAACTCCCTTCTCTGCTTCCCAAGCTGCCATTAAAATTCAGGTGACGACTTTGTAATTTTGCTTAGAGATCCTTCAGTGGAAAAACGCAGAAATAGTGCTAACAGTTATTTATTATGCATATGAAAACTAGAGCACAAAAAGGAATAAGGTGCTTGCAGGGCACTGCTGTGGGTTTGCCTGGCTGATGTTACCACTGCCTTTGGAGGAATGATATCATGGAGTTTTATCTACCAGCACCACACTAACAAAATCTCATCAAGTGAATGCAAAACTTTGCTTAATAAGCAGGTAAATTAAGAAAGAACACCAAAAGAGTCTAACCAAGTTTGATGTGTCATTGGTTCTTTCTCAAAGTGTGGATACTCGTGTAATATCCGTGTATGCCTGCCCTTGCTCCAGTCATTCTGAGCACAAACACTGCTCTCAGCAGCAGCAGTTGTATATCACGAGGCCAACCCTGTAATTAATGAGATTTGAGGCACAACTACTGAGACAAAATTTAAGTTTCCAATATCAGAAATGAAGATCCAGTCTTTGGTAAAAAAGGGGATAAGGGGTGGCAGTACTTTAAAGCTTCTCTAACCGACATTGGAAAGGAATTCACAATGTATTTTTAGAGTGTTATAAAAATCTCTTACATAATGCTGATTAATTCTTAGGTTTTAGGGAAGAGCGCTAGGCTTTGTGTATAAGAGTGTTGACCAGCTAAGCCACTGAAAAGGGCTGGTTTGGGCTGGATTTTTTTTTTCCCCTTTAACTTTCTTTTGGATACAGAAAGCTGCAATTATTCAATTATTACAGGATTTTGCTTTTGTTTGGGTGTGTATGAATATTTTTCTGGAAACTGCATCATATTCTTGGAAGTCTTTATCATTTTAAAGCATATGTTATGTTATGTTATGTTATCACCCTGTCTGAGATATAGGATAGCTACAAACTGGGTGGGGTTTTTTTCCCCCTCTGTCTTGCTGCAGCTAGTTACAGTATGGATTAACGTTAAGGATATCTGCAGTGAAACATTACTTGTGTGGCTATGTAGGACTCACTTAAACAATGCCACTTATATTACAGAATCATGATTTTCCTGGTGCAATAATATGTACAATTACTTTATATTTCTGTCCATTTTGTTGATTTTCAAAATCATTGATTAAATTAACTGGCAGGTTTCACACAGCTCCTAACAAAGGGCTATTCAGGAAATTAAGTCATTAAATGGTACTCCCTTATTTTAATTCTAGTTATCTATACTTATTGTTGTGTAGCTGGGAAGATTTTTTGGACAAGATATCATGGAAAAGGGACGCTTTTGTTTAGTCTTTTTCAACGGATACATGACCGAGGCAGCTTTGAAGCCTTTCTGAAAAATCCTCCTTCCTTCTGTAGAATGTTTAATCTTCCTGTGGAGTGTCTAACTATGAGACTCACTCTGAGAATTCCATTCCTTTGCCATACAGATGAGTAAGAATTCCTCAGGTAAGTGAGATGAGTCCTCAATTGTTACTGCAGAATGAAGGTAGGAGGAATATGTAGGTCCAAACAAAATCTTTATTTGCCCCTCTTTTCTACTCAGGAGGAAATGAAAGTCCTTATAGCTCAGGGTAGGGATGGATGATCCTTATGGGTGCCTTCCATATATTCTGTGATTCTGAGTCTCAGAGAAAGGCTTACTAATAACCCAGTAGCCTCTTTCACTTTCTTTTTCCAGCGAAGACCAAAATTTTCTTCTGGCTTTGGAGAAGGAGCAGTTACACAGTTACTCCTGTTACACAGTTCATCCACTAAGAGCCCACACAAATATGACCAGCTTAGAAACAAAACTTGGTGAGAATAAACCTGTATTGCTCTCACTGGCTGTGATACAAGGTTTGATTACACGTGAGTGCTCAAGCTCCCAGTTTGCAAACATGTGCAATTCAGAATAAGGGAAATTATCTATAAAGGGCACACAGTCTGAACCCTACAGTGGAAAAAACCTCACATTTGTGTGTCCTGGTTTCCTCCACTTTAGCTGTCACGACTTTGTTGTCTGGTGTTTCATGTGGTTTCAGCTCTCCCTGATGCTGTTTCCACTGGAGGGGCTCTTACACATGGACACTCACGTGTGTGTTTTTGGGGCTTGCTAAGAAAACTCGTGTTGTCTCTCATGAAGAAAAGTTCAGAAACAGTCTCCCTTCTCTCTCCAATCACATATTTTTACTTCTAGAACTGTAATTGCCACTCTTTTTTTCCTCAAATTTAGTTAATAATGAGATTAAAATTATTTCTGACATATACATAAACACCCGTGGCATGTGAGGTCACTGTTTAGCTGGTGGTTTTAAGCCATCTGACTAAAACTGTGTTTTACCAGACAACCCAGTCTGTG